TTTTTTTTAACTTCTTTTCATTCGGTGATGGCAGAGGCATCATGGAGAGGCAAAGTGTTCATGGACCCCTCCTCTTGGCGGTAAAGCTTGTAACATGGCACTTGGCTGAAGCACCAGGGGTGATAACTGGAAAGATCAGATGCATAAAGAGGATTTGGCTCTTGTGTCACCCAGCCTGATGCTAGTGCTGTTTGAAGGTTGAAATGCAACTTCCGTTGCTTAGAGGAGTTTGTGGATCTCTCATAATTTCACTTCCCTATGTATTACATATAGCGCACATGGCTGTTGGGAATAGCTGGGTTGAGAAACAGGGGGTTTGGTTCTGCAGACTATTTTCTTTGAGATAGCTGTAAATGTGATTAAAAGCAGAAGTGTTTGTGGAGAATAGTGTCTAAAACTGCTGGGGAAATCTGGAGAGAGAGCAAAGCGGTTGAACAGTTCCATAAGAAGCAGAAATGAATCTACGATTTCCTGTACTCAGCAAGGGAAAATGTCTGGTGGAGGGATGTTTCAGTCCTGCAGTCCTTCTTCAGTGTCCTCTACACTCCTCAGTTCACTTCACGCCTTAGGTGAACATTTATTGTAAGCACAAGAGAGAAAACTGGGTTCAAGCTGACAGTGAGAAGAATATAGCATGCACTGCGGTGGGCTTTGCAAGGCTGATGGAGAATACCTGGCACGCAAAGATGGAGGATGGGCAGAGCTAAGTTTCCTCGCTTTAAGGTGCAATAAAATTTCATCACATTATGCCTATCTGTCATGGACTGGGTTTTGGGAGCCCTTTGGAGTTTGCAGCCCACCTGTTGAGTAACATCAGCTTAAACCGAGCAAAGTGGTATCAGAGGAGCTAAATATTCAAAAAGAACTGACGGCATTGCATATGCAAGATGAGCGGCGGTGGGACGATACGAGTGTGTGGCTGGTGATATACAAAATCCAGGAGCTAGAGGGTGAACAAGCCACAGACTGTGCCAGCAATTTTGGATGCCAATGTCATTTTGGGAAGTGCAGTTCTCACTTCCCCCTGGGTGTGCTATGCAGCATCTTGCCCCTTCTGTTGGTGTAGGTACCTCAGGCTTTGCAACCACCCATCCAGGGGCAAAGAAAATAATTTGCTACTGTAGAAATAAAGGATCCCCATCAGAGGAGATTACCTGACTGAAAAGGTACTTCAGGAAAAATCCCAGCCCAAGTAATGTTCCTCTTTATTTCAAGAAGGCTAGGAGTTCATCCTGCACCTCCATGTAAATGTTCTCCTGTGAAGAAGGTGGCCATTCGCACGCCCAGCTTTCTCTCCAGGCAATGCCAGTGGGCGCAGCCTGTGCAGAAGTCGGCCAGACTTGAGAGCTACCCCGTGGTGGGAGCTGCATTTCCTCACATATGTGAAATCCTCCCTGTGCCCAACAGAGCGCAGCGTCTTGTACTGACACATATGGAAACCCTCCAGAGGAACAAGCTGCCTTTCTAGACATGAATTAAGGGAGCGAGCATGGGAAAGACCAGCACAGCTAGAGGCTCTCAGAGAGGAGAGTAAACCGATGTGCACTCCTTCTTTCCAGATCAGGGATTTCACACAGCACACACAGTCTAGGCAAGCACCACCGAGCAGCCCTCTCTGGATGCCTGCGCAGTGAGCAAAGATGCTAATGGCATACAAGCAGGCATCAATCAATTTTTTCCTCCATGCATGATGGGACTTAGGTTGGATATTAGGAAAAATTTCTTCATGGAAAGGTTTGTCAAGCATTGGAACAGGCTGCCCAGAGAGGTGGTGGAGTCACCATCCCTGGAAGTGTTCAAAAAATGGGTAGACGTGGCACTTAGGGACATGGTTTAGTCTAGTCTACCCTTGATTGGTTTAGTGTGGACTTGGTAATGTAGGTTAATGGTTGGACTGGATGATCTTAAAGGTCTTTTCCAACCTAAACGATTCTATGATTCTATGATTCTGCTTGTCACACCAGGAAGCACGTCTGAAACAGGAGTTTACACAGCAGAGAAGAAGCTGGGGCACTTTGCAGAGACATTGTGGCCTCTTGTCCAGCTTTGTCGCAGAGTCACAAAGTTAGGACAGGACTTCTGTGGGTCTCTTGTCCGAACCCATGCTCAGAGCAGGGCTGGCTGAGTTTCAAGTATCTCCAGGGATGGAGATCCCACAACCTCGCTGAAGCCCTGTCCTGGTGTTTGACCACCCTCGTGGTGAATTTTTTTTCCATATAGTAAGTAACAATTTCCCATGGCCATTGCCTCTTACTCCTCTGAGGAAAGTTGTCTGCTTCACCTTTACACCTTATCATTAGATCCCCGTTGAGATGTCTCTTGTTGAGGCTGATCAAACCTAGTTCTCAGTGTCTTCTCATACACCACGTGCTCCAGCCCAAATCATTTTGGCAGCCCTCAGCTACCGCACGCTGGTGCATTGGTGAAGAACCAGTTGTGGTCAGCCCACAGAGTAAGAGGGAGGCTCTGGTGCTGTGCAGATAGGTGCAGTAACAGCTCAGTGGCAAAGAGCTGGGTAGGCTGGTGTAGCGACTCATATTTGGCACAAGAGACTTGGTGTACCCCGACACTTCTTTTCATTTTAAAAGCGCGTGATGCATACATTTAGTCTCAGAAGAGGAGAAAGAAAATAGCAGGATGGGAAGGCAGAAAACGATGGGCTATTGGGATTATGTACGATGTCGCCTGCTCATTTCTGTATCCCTCAATAGGGTAGATAAAGTAATGATTGGACATGCACAAGAAGAGACGAGGAATCTGTCACATATCTCTGCAGGCAACTCTATTAGTTATCTCACCTGTAGAAAATCAGTATCTTGTTTGCAATTGCTGTCAGCTTCTGCCCCATCACCTAGGCATTTCCTATTCGTCCCCTTTAATTCTGCTGGTGTCAGATACCACATGTCCAGAAGCTGGAGAATTAAACTGGGCTGCAAGCAAGGGGCTGGACAGACTCTGCAGGCAGACTCAGCTCCCAGTTCAAGCGGAAAGGCACTGCAAGTGCTGCTCAGCCTGTGGGTGTGCCTGCCTGCTGCAAACAGCCTTCCCCGCACCATGCCCATGACCTGAAACTACCAGTGCTGAGACAGCCCATCATCTAGCCCACTTTTACTGTGCAAAACCACTAAGGTGTTTTTCAAATGACTGTGGGCACTTCTCATTTAAATGTTTTGGGGACAACTAGCCTTTGAACTTTCCAAATAAGAAGATATTTTAAAATGCAGAGCCTGCGTATCCAACTAGCACAAAAACAACTCTTTGAGAAATGACTACAAAATAAGAGGCCAGAACTTGATGGCCCACACCACAAACAGCACTCTGGCAATGAGGCATTAGGAGAAAATGTCACTATGGTCACAGTAGCCACCCGTGGGGGAGTTTGTTGTAGTTACCACTATGTCATATGAAATTTCTTGGGCAAGGAGTGTCTCACACCTCAGGACATCTTTATTCCATGCTTAGTCTTGCAAGGCTTATTTTAAACAGAGGCTATAAAAACTACTGCTATCAGTGAAATGTGGACATGCAGGCTGGTATTCCAAGGACTTTGCTCCAAGCGTCAGGAGTGGGAGTAGTTATACACCATTGGCATCTACCACTGAGTAATGTGCCCATGCTCTCCTTATAGTCAGAAAGAGTTTCATCAACGCAGTCATCAGAGTCTGGAAAGCAGTCTGTCTTGTCTTAAAGCAGATTTGGGCTGACCTGCATTGGATCAGATGCACTACTCTTCATTGGCTGTATTGACTACCTCTCCCAGTAACAGGAGATATAAACATCTACATTAGAGACAGCTTACAGTCACCGAACTGAGTCCCTTCTTTAGAGTCAACGGGGGTTCCTGTAAGAAGATTGAGACACTGTGACTAAGGGGTAGTTATTAGTTGCAGTTTTGTTATCACTGACCTTTCCTTTCAGTCTCAGCTTTAACAGGCTGGGTTGGCTGTGTTGTCATCTCCCTGGGCTTTTGTACAGTGTATCACACGCAATTTCCTTCATTTCCTACAGTGAGAGCAAGTAACAGATACTTACAAGCTCTTTACCCCAACCAGGGAGCAGACCCAATGCAGTAACTTCTGCACCCTTCTAGGATTTTTGGTTCCCTGCAAACAGAAATCTTTGCAGAGACTTGAACACCACATCCCAAGGGAATGCAGAGGAACTGACTGGCAGCCTGAGTTATTGGATGTGCAGACCAGTGAGCCCAGAGGTCACACACTTGCACCCCATACTCTCTTTGCATGCAGCCTCCAAGTTAATAAGCCCTGGCTCCAACCTGACTACCTTGCAGCCAAGGCAGAAGCAGTCACAAGACACTTTGGTGCTTGAGGAAAAGGATCAATATAGTTTCTCTTCTTTTGATCATAGGATGATTTTAAAAAAAAACCCAAACTCATCAAAGATATGCTTGCTCCCACGGGGTGTCCCAGTGCAAACTTTGCTCCTGCCATGTCAGCAAGCATCGGCTCAGACCTGGCCAAACTGGGCGTCTTGCCACACTTCCACCCTGGGGTTAACATGTGGGGCGAGACTCGGCTCTTGGTGGTGTTGACAGGCATCGCACACTGATCAACATCTACATGGGTGGTATCATTTCCTGCTACGCACTGCCTGACTGACTGTGAGAGCACCTGCATTTCTCATGCTGCGATGCACCGCCTGCAGAGCTCAGTTAGTCAGATGTCAGTTTGCTGCTGCTTCTGCTGCTCTTCTGATAAGCAGAGGCTTATTTGACAACTCTTGAAATTCTCATTTATTTTTTCTTATCCTAAAGAGCTAATTTTCAGTGAAGCATATGGAACAGCAGAGTCTGGGCTTTTGTTAGTAACTACCATCACCTCCGCAGTAATACAACTCTCACTAACCCAAATAGTGACAAAATCCCAAAGCGTGGGTGTTGGTGAGGTCTCTCAGTATTTTACCATAGCAGATACTGGATCTCTTTTGCTAACATTACTCTCTTTTCCCTTTCCATGTTGCCTGTAGCCAGAAAATTCAGCATGACGGAAGCATTCACAGAAACAACAGCTGAATACTCTTACGACGAACATGCTTTTTCCTGCAATAAGACTGACATCCAAGAATTTGGGAAAATATTTCTGCCAATATTTTACATGGCAGTGTTTGCTCTTGGCCTCACAGGGAATCTAATGGTGTTTTTTGCCATTGTGAAAGAAGGCCATAAAAAAAGCATCACTGACATCTATCTCCTGAACTTGGCTATCTCGGACCTTCTCTTCGTGATCTCCCTCCCCTTCTGGGCCTCCAACACAGTGCACGGATGGACCCTTGGGACTATTCCATGCACAGCTGTTTCCTCGCTGTATTACATAGGTTTCTTTGCGGGCATGTTCTTTATCACTGTTATCAGTATTGACAGATACTTGGCCATTGTCCGGGCAACATATTCTCTGAAATACAGAACAATGAAACATGGCTTTCTTATAGCCTGCGGAGTATGGGCAATAGCAGTTTTAGTTTCAGTGCCACATTTTGTGTTCTCCCAGCTGGTAGAAAATGACTGCATTTCTGTCTTCCCCCAGGAGCTGGAGAACATCTGGCTGGTGTTCTGCAATATGGAGCTGAACATCATTGGCTTTTTCATCCCAGTCTGTATCATATGCTATTGCTACTGTGGGATCATCAAAACCCTGCTGTCCTGCAAAAATCAGAAAAAAACACGAGCCATAAAACTGATCTTGGTTGTGGTGGTCGTGTTTTTTCTGTTTTGGTCCCCCTACAATGTACTGATTTTTCTAGAGACTTTAAAGCACTATGAGTTATTCACAAGTTGCAACCAAATAAAATCATTGGACTATGCAATGCACCTGACCGAAACCATTGCATTCAGTCACTGTTGTCTCAATCCTCTAATCTATGCCTTTGCTGGGGAAAAATTCAGGAAATATCTTTATCATGTCTGCTTAAAGTACTGTCCATTCCTGTGTTTCTGTGGCCCCTGCAGTCGCTACCAGGTCACCTATTCTGCTAGCTATGCAGAAAGCATCACGAACAGCAACAGAACCCTGAACACCAGTGACCAGGAAGGCTCTGTCTTTGTCTAAAAGGCTCTGTGAAGGAGAAATATATGTAAATATGTCTTATTGCCACTGTGGAGAGACTGCCATTATCCATATGAAGAGACTTAAGGGCTGCACTGAATTACTGACATGCCTTTTGTTAAGCATTAAATATTCTAAAACAGTAAAGATTTCAAAAACAAAAGCAGCATGATATGTCAAGGCTGAACATGGAATTAAATCAAGAGAGAGGAAGAGGGAAAGTAGAAGCAAAAGCAAATAAAATTTTGGAGTTACTGATTGCAACAAATGATTTACGTGTGCTTTCATAAGTAATAAAACCCTACTATTAAAAAAAAAAAAGAGTTATTTCTGAATATGCGTTTAGTGCCAACAATGCACTCAGTGTTTATAGCATGCAATAATCAGAGCAAGGACTGTCCTTAAGGATTTGGGACCTGACCTGGAGCTGATCCAAGCCAGTAGGCACATCTCCTGATTTCCACGGGCTGTGGCCTGAGCCAAAGGCCAGGGTTTGGTGGAGCCCTTCGCTCAGCACATCTCCGAGTGCTCTGCTGAGCAAGGGGTTGCCAGCTTGATCAATGGACATCAGCGCACACTGGGACAACAGGAACTGGAGTTACGGGTTTTGGTATCATTGAGCTTGGTCCAAATATGGCACAATCAAGCTGTGAATTGCTTGCAGAGCATGGTAAGTACATGCTTCACACCCATGCTCTGCTTGCCACAAGTTACAAATACTAACTGTGTCTATACCATCATAGACAATGGGTTTTGGGTCAAAATAACCACTTGCCCATGCTGCTTACCACAACCTTCCTCAACCTTTGTGGCCTCACCTCACCACAGCTGATTTCCCCAGGGAAACCTGCAGGTGTACCCAGATTTAATGACTCCTGGAGGTCACATTTACCATGTGTGCTCTAAAGCCTCCAAATATCCTTTTTTTACTTTTGCAATGACAATGCATTGGGGGTGGAAAATGTCAATCAGACAAGACAAGTAAGAGGCCTTCCCCAGGGGCCTCCGCGGGAAGCTCCTGCCATCATCTGCTGCAAAAGCAAAGGAGATTTTGTTGGCACTGTGAACTGGAGTTAGGTGAATGGAAAAAGGACTGTTGCCATCTATGAAGCTGAGATCACCTTACAAGGAAAAATCAAGGACCAGTTGTACAAAATGAGGCCATGCCAGTGGGACCCTATTTCTATACATTGATGGAACTGGCAATATGTCAAATCTGGAGAAACGCTCTCACTTTCCAACTAACACAAAAGAGTTTTTCTAGAGTGTCAGTGGGAGGAGGAGTCGCTTTCTTTCTGGACCTTAGTACCACCTCGTTTCTAAGAAAGCTTGGAGGAGAGCCTCTCCATTGAGCAATTTTCTATATGTAATAATTCCATAAATATTAAATATTCTGGTTTTTGCTACTGAACATTCAGCACACTCTACAGTATAATAGCCCCTTTTCATAAAATGCCTTGTATTAGGTGCAAATATATTCTATATGCTGAACTTCCAAAATTTCAGCTATAAGAAGACTTTCAGACTCCAGACATTGTCTAAGATTAAGTGTAGCATGAGTGTCACTTGAAATTAGATTACTTTTCAAAATTCAGTCTGCCTAAGCAAGTGAGATAAGACAAATCCCTCTGTCCCCACCCCCAAGCAAGTGGTATTTTTACGAAATGGTATTTTTACAATGTTTTTTTAAAGAAATGCTAAGATGTGCAGAAATAAAGAGGAAGGTACTCTGAGACTAAACAAGAAGTCATCTGCATGAAATCAGCCTGAAGAGAGTGGATTGCCAGGCTGAGCAATGCAATCGCACTTGGTTTATTTAACTTTCCTTTTATTTTTCAGACAATGGTGAGTTACTGAGTGGGAAGAGTAAAAGGCACCTTTAAATACGATCCATCTGCTGTCTCCAGAATGAAAGGTGCAAGCCCAGAGCTTTCTGCCAGCTCTCTAGGAAAGGAGAGCATTTTCCTGCCTAGCCCCAGTGGTTTCTCAGGAATCCTAACCCATCACCAGCACAGTGCATCACAGCACACACGCCTCCCAGATTCATCTCCCTTTGGCAGTGCAGACTCGCTACTGTGAGTCAAACTGCCTTGACAGGCTTGGGTCCTCTGCAAGCTGCAATGTGTGAAACTGTATCTGCAAAAATCCTTCACTTCCAAGTCAAGGCCCCCTCCTGACAACCTGCATTTCTTCTGTTTTCTTTGCCACACTGTGCAATGGAAGACTTCCAAGGATTGTCAGCACAACATCATTAATTTTTACACCACGTATTTGCAAGTTATTATATAGAATTTGATATTTATGTGCAAGATCTTACTGCTCAATATGTGAACATTTGTATGAGATTAAAAGCTTCAGGGGCGTTTCTAGGCATTGGGCTCTGCAACAAATAGCTAGTTTATGCAGATGCCTCCTCATAGCAGAAGTGGTAAATCTTTGCAAACCCGCTGAAAACCAAAACCAACGTTTTTGTTTTGTTTGCATTAGCAGGAAGAGTTTTGTTGTAATTGTCCCCTAAAAAACTTCAGCCTCCATGAAACATACCAGTGCTTTGAGGGCAACCAGTAACAAACTTTACGAGGACTGGGTTCAGCTGCAGCTGAGACAGGCGTTGTTTCTCATCGCTGTACTGCACCATACCAGCATGCATAGGGAGCAGCAGCCCCGCAGCTCCTGCCCACACCATGCCTCTGTTGTTATTTGTCCAATTTGGACAACTAATGTTGTGTAGTTTCCTGGGTTTCTGCTAATTTTATACATTACACTCCTTGAGGTATTCTTTGCACCATTCGAGCCTGACTGAAAGCCCATTGATGTTTCTTTAAGTCCCTCCACCGGACTTTCAGTTAATTGTAGCCTTTATTTAAAGATAGTACTTCTCTTTCAAAACCTCTGCGGCAGGAAACTGGTGCTTTCTAACTGCCCAGCTAGTTTACAACATACGCTTTTCTATGTACAGCACTAATGCTGCATATATCCTTAGACTGGATCACCACATCCCTGAGGACCAGCAACATCTAGTCCCTACCCATTACACATGAGAAAGTAAACCAGTCTCTTGGTATGGGATAAAACCTTTTCATCTGCCATAAATTAAGGACAGACTTGCTTACTTAGCAAATGACAATTTACACAGGAAATGCACACACACACACACACACACACACTTGTTATATCTATCCATTGAATAGTATTTGGTTGTGCAGAAAGGAAGTCAGGAAATCTCTGGGTTTGGTGGGGAGATTGGGCTTTGGGGTTTTGAGGGGTGGTGAGCTATCTTTGCATCTTATTTTTTCATCATGATCAACTTTTTTCCTGTTTGAGAATCACACTGATACTTAACATAAATCTTTTCCCAGCTGTGTTACAGTTTGAGGAACTAATAAAACCTCAATCCAAATTTTCTCAGCAGGTTCACAACTATACTTCATGTTCTACTTACAAATATAATTAACAAGACACATATTTAGCCAAACTACTTGCAGTCAGATACATGGACATCAGTATCTTTTTTAGGTGCCACTGAGAGTCCCTCTCATTCAAATATCAGTCCCAAAATCATAGGATTTATGTTTCTTCATTTTTAAGCCGGGCATGGCCGCTTTGAATTGTTTTCATTGACCTTTTGGGGTTTTCAACTTGTACAAAAAACTTAGAAATGCAGCCAGTCAGAGCATTACACTGACTTAGGAAATTGCTCAGTAGTGAAAGCTGTCATTTTCAACACTGGCATCAAAAGGAGCGGCTACCCACATATTTCCTTTAGATTTAGAATTTGCTGGGAGTGGATCTGAAGTCCTGGTCCAGGGTAGTCTGAAGTTTTAAGCCTATGCTTCAGAGAGAAACTATTTATAAATGCACTGGTTATGGGTTAAGTTCTGTCATTTCCATTTCATCTCTATCACCTCTGCGAGGTCCCTCACTACGATCTTGTAGGGAATACGAAACTGTTGTCCTAGCAGGACACTCTGTTGCCAATGAGGGGACAAGTCCAATCCATGCAAGTCCCAAGTCCTGCTATCACTAAACAACAAAGCAGAGTTTTCCAAAGCAAATCTCAGTTACCAGCTTTATTCTTCCAAATTTGAATTCTAGGAGTTGCATCATGTCTACCCACCATTGCTTTTGCAGCTCCTAGCTGGTAACATTTTTTCTCTGTAGTTATTGCCCAAGCATGTTGTGGTGCTTTGCCAAAGTCCACTTACATACCACTTCCAAAATAGCCACATTTTAGTAATGAATGAACTATTTTCTGTATTAAGTACTTACCCAGTCCTGCTCAAAGACTTACTGTTTGCTCTTCAGTTTCGTAACTCTGTAAGATATCCAAAACTCTAATGAAAACCTGTGACTTCCAGAGTTTTTTATTTTGCAATTCAAATCTGGTAATTGAATCTAAAATTGAGAACAATTTATAATGATTAAAGGATGGCTTCTGACATTTGTCACATATATACGGCTTCTGTTGAAGCTGGTAATAATTCCGCTGCCATTATTAGTAAGAACTTCCTAATTTACTTGGTAACTACTGCAAGAGCTTGGTTTTCAACATATACACCCCCAAATCTCAAGACCTGGGTTTTGCAGTGCCAATGTTAACACATTGTTTTCAATGTGGGAAAAAATATCCTCCAACTTCTCCTGTATAATTTTGTTTGTTACAGTAATATTCAATACACAAATATCAATAGTTCATGTATTGTATTTGTCATTCCTCTCCCTAAAGAAATACTGTAAAATAGCTCCCACTGGACATGGGGAAAATGGTTTGCTTGTGAAGACCTCCAGCTGTGATCCTTCCATCAGCAGGAAGCAGAACATCAACTTTATATCACTGAAGGCAGAAGTTAGTGAATGGGATAGAGAATGCAAGCAAGGACTCTGGCACAGCTTTTTCACTATACAGGAGATATTATCCACTTGCCAACTGCAGCTGTAACTGGAACAGTCTGTTTTCCACCCCACTCAGATTTTAAGTCTCTGATAAGTTATATGCGTTTGTC